TTTGGAGCCATAGAAATTCTCTTTCATCGCTGGCGGAAAAGCAAAATGGTATGACCATTTTGTAATACGGTTTGTCATTTTCTTAAAAAACAACGGAACGTTTCCTTAGCCATAAGATCCTGCGATCACGCGCCTACGTATTTCCTTGGCTGGCTTACTTAGGTCTACACGCGCACCTGCAGGTGACTTTACACAGCAGATTGTTTTATAACCGTGAAGAAACAGAAACCACTAAGATGTATTTCATTCGGTGAATGGATAAACAAACTGCGGCGCAACGTACAGTGGAATACTGCTTACCAATAGAAAGGAGTAGGTTCCAAGTCTCACAAAGACCTGGAGGAGGTTTAAGTGCATACTGCCAAGTGAAAGAAACCAGTCTGAAAGGCTAGAGAGCTGAGGGTAGCCCCTCCCCAGATCACAGTCGGGGGCCCACAGAAATCAGCCCTAAGCCTGCTGTCAGCCCTGGGAAGCATGGGCAACAGGACAGATCGGAGGGGCCTCCTCTCTCGTTTCTGTGTTTTTCTTCTTCTTACTATTATTTTTTAGTTGTTTTATTTCCCTCTCTCATTTCTGGGTCAGGAGGCTTGGGGAGGGGGAGGAGGTTGTTGTCTGAAGGGGCCTGGACCCAGGTGAGCAGAGAAAGGAGCCCAAGTCCTGCCAGGAGTCAAGGTGAGGACCGATGGGGCCCACCTCACCCCACAACAGAGTGTGTCAGTCCTACTCTGCCCCTCCGTCAGACAAGAGGTAACCCAGAGGATGGTGGTTCGATGGGCTCCTCTAGATCCTCTTCAGGGGTGGCATGGAGATGGCCTGAAGCCAAGAGAGAAGACATCCAAGGGCCCTGCTAGAGGTCCAGGTGAGGTACAAGCCCTCCAGGTATATCCAGGGCCCCACCTGCCCCAGGCAGAAGGGAGCCCATGGCATCCTGCCCACCCGCCCTATGATCAGCCCTGGAGCCTGGTGCTCCGAGGCCAGCTGCACCCTGAGGAGCTGCCTCACTCTCTCTTCCAGGTTCTCAGGTGAACAGGCCCACCAGAGCGGCCCACCTAAAGGGAAAATGCCCTTTGATAGCGCACCAACGGTGCCTTCCGTAATTTTAGCCATTCACATGCTCCCTCTCCCCTCCGGGCCTGTGCGTCCTCATCACCCAGAACCAACTTCCCCTCTTCCTCTTCTACTGGGATCCCAAGCACCTCAGAGGTGTCCAGAGTCCTTAAAGAGCTTGCACCGCCCCGACTGCCACGGCAGCCACTCCATAGAGCCGATCCAACGAGGGCTCCAGCAGCAAAGGAGAGCAGGGGCCATACACCTGGCTGGGCCTCACCGGTCACTCCTATGTCCCCGTCACCACCCTGGGCCTCCGCTGCGATGGGGTGCTGAGTGACGACCGGAGCATGTCCAAAACTGGGCTCCTGGTCATCATCCTGGTGTGATGTTGATGGAGGGCAACCACATCCCTGAGGAGATCTGGGGAGCACTGAGTGCGAGGGAGGTGTATGCTGGGAGGGAGCACGTCATCTAAGGGGAGCCCCGGAAGCTCCTCACTGAAGACCGGGTGGAGAAAAGTACCTGGAGCCCAGGCAGGCACCTGACAGTGATCCTGACCTATTCAAGTTCCTGTGGGGTCCAAGGGCCCATGCTGAAACCAGGAAGATGAAAATCCTGGAGTCTTTGTTCACAGTCCATGGGAGTGGCCCAGGTCCTTCTCACCCCAGCATGAAAAGCCTCTGGGCCGCAAGGAAGAAGGTGCCTGTGCAGGGGCCTACAGCCAGGATCAGTAGTCGGGGCAGGGGAGAGGGTGGCAGAGCCAAGGTGGGGGCCAATTCCTAGAAAGCCCAGGAATCTCAGGATATGTTGGAGACCTCAAGGAGAGAGAAAGTCTCCCAAGTCTACAAGCACTTCAGGCAGACTGAAGTCTGCCTTGTCAGGGGCTTCCTAACTTTTTTCTTTCTTTCTTTCTCTCTTTTTTTTTTTTTTTTTTTTTGTTTTTTTTTTTTTTCTCTTTTTTTTTTTTTTTTTTTTTTTTTTTGCTATAGGGCGCGTGCGCTCGCCAGACAGACAGAGACAGACAGAGAGAGAGAAAGTGAGAAATCACCCCCCAGGGGGGATGGCCACGCCGCAATCCCTTCTCCTCCATTCTCCTCTCAGGATCTTGGGCACGTACGCACACACGCCCGGCGTGAGTTTTAAGCCACCGGGTCCGGGACGCGAACCGTGGTCGACTACGTGGGAGTCCAGCAACCCAGCCATTACGCTAACTGCTGGTCCCGGCTTCCTAACTTTTGAGAGGCTTTTCAAAGTCCTCTTTGAGGCCAGCCTCAGGTGTGGCGGTTAAGGTGGCTGGATCCCACATGGCCGACCGCATGTCTGAGTCCCAGGCTCGACGGCTCGAGAAACACGCCACACGCGTGTACATGGCCAGAATCCTCAGGGGGGACAAATAGAGAAGGACGGACGGCATGGCCATTCCCCACAAGGGATGCTTTCTCGCTTTCGCTCTGTCTCTCTCCTGGAAGTACACGCACCCTGTGGCAAAACTGTTACGGAACAGTCCAATCTGACATCCCTTGTCAAAGGCTTCATCAAAGCAAACTTCAAAAGAGCCCATCAGGACCTTCTGAGAGGTCACAGCACATCACTTAAGACTCCTGTTATGACTATCAGGAGGATAGTACCAAGAGTCCAGAGTGTGCTGCTTGGCCATGCTGCCCGTGAACCAAAGCAACTAAGATCGAATGGATGAAAGAACGAGTCAGACGAGGAACCTACCTGTTTTAACCAAGCAGCCTTTGCGTACTACTTACCACGTGCAACCAAAAGTGGTAGCAACTTCACAGATGCCTTGTTGAGTCAGTAGGTAGAGATTCTGACATCCAGTGTGTGTGGTGGGGGGAGAAACTGAGAAAGCACCCCTGTGGTAGACGGCCACGCCACAGTCCCTTCTCTGTTCTCTCGTGCGTGCACACGTGCCTGGTGCATTTTTCAAGCTGCTGGGTCCAGGACTCGAACAGCGCAGTCACCCGGGCAGGATCCGGGCACCTTAACTACAATGCCAACTGCCAGTCTGCAATGCAGACTCATTGTCAAGGATGCCAAACCCCACTGAGCTGCTGGTGACAGAGTTTTCTTCGTTTCCAAACGTGTGTACTTGGGGCCACATTCGCGCTGTTGGTGAGGGCCAGGCTAAATGAAAGGGGTCCAGTGGCCCATAGGCTGAGAAAGGAAGGCCCTGGACGTCAGGACGAGTTCTGAGTCAGGGCTTAGAAAGATGCCTCAGGTGCAGGATGACCCAACTGCAGGGACACAGGTGGAGGCCTAGGAGAGAAACCAGCAAGGAAGAAGCTCTGCCAACCCAGGGGAGGGCCCAAGGCAAGGCATGGCCGGCAAGGCCGACACGGCGACTCCCTGACCAGGGGCCCCATAGCTGGAAGCTCGGCTCTGTTCCCGACCTTTGGACGAATGCTCTGTAAAGCTGTTCAGAAAGCGCGATGACCAAGGACCAAGCCTGAGCCAGCATGTGAGGGATGATTAAGGATGAGAGTGCCCTCAGGCTCAAGAGCACCTTGAGGGAGTCTCTTCCAAATGCTCTTTGCACTCCCTGTTTAGAAACAAAGGGCCAGCAGGTGGCGTAGAGGGTAAGGTGCTGGACTCCCACACGGTCGACCCCCGGTTCAGGCACCAGGCCTGGCAACCTGAAAATAATGCCGGGCACGTGCGCACCTGTGCCCGAAATCCCGAGAGGAGAATGGAGGGGAGGTGACTGCAGTGCGACCATCCTCCCTGCGTGGGGGCCATTTCTCACTTCCCCTCTCTGTAGCGCTCGCTCTCTCTGACTGACTAGTGCACGTATTCGATGGCAAACTGTCTTAAAGAAAGTAGCAAAGGGCTGATCCTGCAAGAGGGCCAAGGACACTACCTCATGGGACCAGGACCTGGGATCCATTCAGCCTGACCCCTTTCCACACGACCTCGCTGCCTCCCTCTACAGAGTGAATGATCACAAGGTTGCTACCATGGCTACAGGACATGGATCACCCAAAGGACCGTGGTAACCTCTCATCTGTGCACAAAATGTCTTTCACGTGGGTTTTCTCCCTACCCATCAGCCCCCAAGACACACACACACACACACACACACACACACACACGCGTGCGCGCGCGCCCTACTTTCAAATACACATTGATGGCTATTTCTGCGTTGAAGCCCTTTAGTCGTGGCTAGGTAAGTATGTAGGAACTGGCCTTGACAGTGGGTCTATGTAAAGTGGGCCTCAAAAGTGAGCACATCCTGGGCAATGAGAGCAATTTCAAAGAGGCAGAAATGGCAAGCAAAGGCAGTCATGTTGTGACCGGCAGAGGGATGAGACCTGGGGGCAGGCAGAGCCAGAGATGCGGCCATGCCACCACACCATGATGCTCCGAGGAACACTATGCTTGAAGCAGAGGGTGCTCCCACCATTCTCAGGTACTCCCTGCCCTGGCGACAAACGCCCTCAAGTGCTAACAAAACTGCACTCTGTTTTGGCCCCTCCTGAGCAGATCCCATCAACCAGCAGGAGCAGCTGGGAGAGACCAAAGCACAGCAGGAGCAGCTGGGAGAGATTAAAGCAGCAAGGCCATGGGGGGGGGTGGGGAGAGGAAGAGAGGGAGACTAGCAACCCAAACTAGCCCATCAGCTCACAGAAGGGATCTGCTGGGAGATGGACACCCATCTGACCCAGTCTAGACAATACACAAGCTAGGACTAACAGGGGGTTGGCCCTCGAGCAAATCAGACAGGCCGTTGACAGGACTCCCGTCGTCGGGGTGGGCATGGTAAGGACGGGACCACGGTTTCTCAACTCATCCAGGACCTGGCCCCATGAAACGATGTACCTGCCAGCAGATGGGAGACTTTTCTGGGAATGGGAACCATATTTTTAACACTTTTAGCAAAAAGAGAAAGGGGGAGGTGTTGCTACTCACTCATTTCCCCCCCCCCCCCCCCCACACACTTGGCCAGAGCCTCTCTCCAGACTGTGAGCCACCTCTGTGACATCACACGACCAACAAAGACGATGATGACTGAAGCAGCCGGTTGCCCCACTACCAAGGCTCTAGAACGCGGTGGACAGTATAAATTGGGCACGCTCACTGTGCCCGAGGGCATTTTGACCCATGAGGACAGTGATAATAACCCTCTTGAGCACAAACTGCTTTTGATGCTGGTGTAGCTCCACGGCTATGGAGAGCACTGGTGAAAAACAAGAAGCCCAGCTGGGCCCACCTGTCGGAGAAGAGCCAGCCAGCAGGAGCCCAGGCGATTGTTCACCTAACCCTCGTGCAGAGGCTTCAGGCAGGAGCGAAGAGCAAGCCGTGAGCCAAGCTCCAGGCTCCCAAGATAACCTTCCACCAGAACAACAAACCCAGTGTGCAGCCAGTGTGGAAGAGGAGGACCTCGAGGGACTCCCCTTCCCGAGAAAGCTGTGGGCCACCGTGCAAGACGACGCCTTCAAGTCGCTGAGCTGGAACGATGAGGGAGACGCCGTGATCATCGAGAAGGACCTCTTCCGGGCGGAGATTCTTCAACCCGGAGGAGCGGGCACCTTTAAGACTAGCAGTCTGAAGAGTTTCACCCGCCAACTTAACCTGCATGGGTTCAGCAAGATACACCCAAAGGACTCTTCAAGCCACACGAGGACGGTAAAGTAGAACGTATTTCTCTTCCCCCTTTTCTGCGTTACTCGATCACCTTCACAAGACAGCAAACCGAGTGGTCCAACACGGGCGTTTAATTTCTGAGGTTAACTCTTTTAAACACCACGTATTAGGTTCTGAAAGGTGGAGGGAGAGACGCTGAAAGTATGGGTTTTGGTCATAAACTACAATGCGTTAGAGATAATCTGCAGGTTTGAGGGAAGACTCTGAGGAGCCTGCAAACGTCTCTCACACACACACACTCGCATGCTCACACAGGTTTACTTAGGAATTATCTGTAGTGATGCCATGCTGCAGGGCACAGTGACACTTGACAGCCACTTAGACATTCTTTTCTCCATCCCAAACCAGACCCTTGCAGTCTGGGGAGGGGTGAGGGGAGAAGAATGAACATTTTATCCCAGAACAACTAAAATGCTTTTCTCATTTCAGATCTACCGCAACTCTAGCTTCCAGCGAGATAAGCCCGAGTTCCTGAACAACATTCAGAAGAGAGGAAGCCTCGGGAACAGCACTGCGGCAGCCACCCGTGACCTGCCTACCAAGAGAAAGAAGCTGGCGGCAACGAGGCGCTCCCCACGACTCCATCGCGATGGTGGCCCGCAAGGCGACGACGAGCAGCCCCAGAGGGAAGAAGCCCCCAGGGCCCAGGACCCCAGCAGCAGCCAGCCCATCGTGACCCCTAGTTTGGGGTCTACGACTAGTGCTGCTGGAATGCCCCCCGAAAACTGTGTCCCTGAGGAACCCCAGGGCCCAGAGGGGGCGGGCACCTTGGGGAATGTCCTATTTGAGCCCCTGGCTACTGCCGGGACTGAAGGCTCAGGAGAAATGGCCTCCAGGCCCCAGGAATACTCGGATTATGGCTCTGTGATGTCGTTGTATAATACTTGCTATTCCATCCTACTGGCTGGTCTAACCACCATG